TATCCTGATTGTAATTTCTGTGATGGAGCCAGGAAAGGAACAATATCTTTAAGATTATAAAGGGAAAATGACACAGCCTCAATCATTGTCAAACTGAACTCCATTCACAGCTAGGGATTTATTTTATTTTACAATCAGCAATCTGCCCTGAGGAATCTTCATCACCAATCTATTTTTAATTATTATGATTGCTTTCAAATTATTTCATTTGCAGCTCCAGTTCTTATTCTTCCCCTGTTGGTATTTCATAGCCTTAAGTCATACTACTTCATTGCCATTGGCTTTGTTTGGCAATTATGCAAACAAAAAGTGTGCCTTAACCCTCCAGCGTGCTTTATGTATGTCATCACCACACAAAAGCAGGCATTGTCCACATTTTGGAGATCTGATGGTGAAAATGGCTATAAATGTAGCCAGTATTTCAGAGGTTGAATTGGGTACCTCCTGGTTGCATAAAGAAAACTAAATGAGATATTTTAAGGCTTCTTAGGTCTGTTTTTTTTGTTGTTGTTTGTTTTTTGTTTTTTTGGTTTTTTTTTTTAAAGCAATCAAGGCCTCACCTTCCTTTCAATATCTGACCTTAGATGTTATGATAGGAATTTTTGGAGTCGCAAGTCACTAAAGCTTTTGAGGTAATCAGACTGCACACACATTTCCACATATATCTAGTTAACTTTCTCTAATATTTTGAAATATACTGTAGACTACTAGAGATTTTCAATAGTCCTTTAACCTATGCAGATAAACTATGAAAAGTATAACCTTTATAGACCACATCCAACTCTGACTGGAATGTGTATTGTGGTTCCAAAGAAAAGCTGCTAGTTATTGTGGTACAGATTACATTCTTGACTCATCTATAAGGACTTACAGACAGACACCCATGCATTTATTTTTCACCAGTGTTAGTCATAAAGAACAGGAGAAATTTCACTATTATTTCATTGCTCTTCCTCTGCTGGGAGCTCACATTTTCTCCTGCTCACCTACATGTGATCTCGGCAAAGAAACAAAACTGAAAATGTTGGAGTTGCTCAAATTCCCAGAGAAATCTACTATAGCACTGCCAATCCACCAGAGAAGCTTGCTTTGAATAAAATGGGATCATTTTATACAGATCTATCTACAACAAAATTTCCCCGGATGCTGTAAAATGATATCATGAGGCTTTTGATTCAGAGTTCATGATCCCATTTTGCATGCAGATTACTGAAGGGTTGTTGCTGAGGCTTCACTCTAGTTCCTATTTATACAGATAAATCACATGCTCTTTGTGGAATCTAGTCTCTTATCCCTTCCAGTAACTACTTGTATTGAGTAGGACTAAAATGAGACTTCCTACAGAGCAAGAACATGAGAGTAAGAGGTGGGGACAAGAAATGACTTTTTTTTTTTTTTTTTTTTTTTTTAAACACTTTACACTACTTTCTTTCCCTCTAAACCAAACCCAGGGTTGGAAGGGACTTTAACAATCATCTAGTTCCAAACCCCAGCTGTGGGCAGGGCTGCCACCCACCAAATCAGGCTGCCCAGGGCCTCATCCTACCTGGCCCTAATACCTCCAGGAATGGGGCATCTGTTTGTGGAGCCTGTGTCAGTGCCTCTCCACTCCCTGAGTGTTCATCTCATTCTTGGAGGGGAATGTTCAATGAGAGAGTCACAAGTATCTTTGCAGCCTTTCCAGTCAAGGCATTTTGTGAAATGCTGAGTCCAATTCTGATGGCAGCGTCAACACATACTGACATCTGCACAATATAAAAATATATGAATTTGGAACAATTTCCAAAACCATTCTGATTCTCTATTCCTTATTTATTTTCCGGCTTTTTTTTAATCATGTTTGCATTTTGCTACAAATGCAACATTTCTTATCCACCATATTTTCCCCCCAATACCCTACTCTGCTCAGGAGGATCATGCCTTTCTAAAAAAAAAGAAATGTATATTCTGATCACATAGAAAGAAAGTGGTGTCCCAAACTGATGAAATTAAGTCCAAATTCTTCTGCCAAAAATGTCTAAGTCCTTTGTTTCACTGCTGATACCTCTGAAAGTAAGGATTAAAAAAAAAACAAAAAACAGATACTTGCTCAAGGGAACCAAACTTTCTCCCCTTTTTTGCTAGGAAGTTGATGTAAGGTCACCAGCTCATGTTAGAAGTGTAATTATTTGTATGGAGTCTGCACAGAAATACAGAAGTGACTTTGAGATTAGCTATGCCTCTAGTGAAGTTCTGTGGGCATAATGTTAGAGATTAAATGAATCTTCAGGACTCAAATTTATTCTAATGCAGTGTCTAGCATAACAGGAGTAGCATTCATGCCTTGAAAGTCTAGGGCCACAGTCTCTGGTGTGTCTGTTGGTCATGTATTAGAGTTATCTTTTCCCAAGCAAGCATGGTGATTTTCATTCCCCTGGAGGAGTATTGAATATTATCAGTTTAAATGTGGTTTTATGGTTAATAAGTACTCTTCACACTGCTGGTAAAAGCCCCCCAGGGCCTGACAAAGATCATTCTTTGATTTAAAAGAATCTCATAAAAGTAGATTGGTAGTTCTGATCACATAGACAGATGTGCATAGTCCTAACACTCCTTACTCCCTGTCGATTCTTATTGTGCACTTAAGGAGTTTAATAATATGAACCTCACTAATCATTACAATGTCAGCTCAGGTCATACTGCCCTACAGACTGAAGTAGGCATCCCTGAGTTCAGTAGGTAATAAATTCCTGTCATGTTCTGAAGTTTAGAGGAGAAAAAAAAAAAAACGAAAAAAAAAACCCCACTGTTTTGCAACAGAAGGGCACTCTAATCTAATCCTGGAAGACACCATACTTTTGAAAAGGACAGTTATGGCTATGCCTTTTTGTTAGTCATGGAACATCAGCATCGCTGAGGGTGAGGCCCTGTATCCCTATTTATTTCAAACCTTTCAGTTAAGGGGAAAACGCTTCTTTACAAGTTTCAGTTTTCACGTTTAATTTGTGCCACTTAGTTATGCATGCACTTTTCAAAGCAAAACACACCATGGTTCTGAAAAAAATCAGATGGTATGTGTTTAGACATAAAGTACTCTGGAGGACTTTACTAACTGGAGTACACATTTTTCCCATCTTCCTAAAATTTCACTGAGTTCCTGCTCTGAGACCATCTTTTTTTCCTTATAACAGACAGATAACATTTTCCACTGTCAGAGCTGCTGAATTCCTCTGTCACTATCTCCATCTCTTTATTGTCTAACTCTCCCCAGTTAAGATCATTGGCACACCAAGACTCACCATTGATTGCCAAGATCTTCCCTTAGCATTCTGCTTGCAAGCTTCTAGCTTTATCCAAGGCCACCTGCCAAACCTTATTCCAAGCATAAGTACACAGGCCTCCTCTCAGCTATGAAGTACTCATTGATACTGTTCTCTATTATCAGCTTTCCAGTCCTTCTTTCTCCATCTGGACAGAAACATTCTTTCCTCTTTTCCTTCTCTCTAATTACATGAATCTAAGCTAGCCAGTTTTCCCCATCAATCTTAAGCAGATTTCCATAGTCACCAGTTTTTCCTCTACTATTCTTGACAGTGGTTCTCTTTTTCACTCTCATATGCCAGCAATATTCTCAAGCAGCAGTTTGTGCACTCGGCCAGTGACAAGTAGGCATTGGTTGGTTTAGAAACCATCTCAGATAAAACTCTTCTATGAAGTGGCTCTTACCTTTATAATCATTTAATGTAGTTTGTTATGCCTGCTTTTGAACTTGTGTGTACAGGAAAGTTTCTTTTTTATTTGCTGTGATATTTTAGAAGGATTTGTTATGCAGTTTAGAAAATGGCAAAAGCAAATCCTTTCCTAATACACAAAGGCAACAAAGTACAAGAAACACTCTGCTCCTTGTCAGGCAGACACCTGGGCTGAACTCAACAAAGCATTCAGCAAGAAAACCTCAGTGTTGGCATATCTGCTTTATTTATTGTGAAGAAAAAGAGAGGGAGTAGTAGTGGGAGAACCAAAACACATGAAAAAACTCAAATTATTGTTTTAAATTATTTGTACGTGATTGTAAGAGATTAGCTTGCAGCACCAAATTTACGATGACGTATAGGATGAAAAATTGTCTTCATAGACAGAGATATTCTATTATTTTCTCTATTGCACCATTGTGCAAAAAAGACACCCAAATTCAGCAGACTAAGCTAAGACAGAGTACTTCATATTTTTCACTGCTGTGTTCAAAGGCCAGCAATGGAATTTTCTCCAACTTAGAGCCCATTTGAAAAACAGAGCTGTTTCTTTCCTTGCACATCAGTTCAGACGCCTAAAAAAAATTCTCTTCCAAGCGTGGTGCTTTTAAGTACAGAGAATTCGATTTAAAAACAATACACAGTTTTAAAATACATATTTTTTTAAAAAAAGGCTGTGATGGAAACTGATGTGTGCTTTCTGTCTTAAAGACTATATACAAGGTAAACTAAACTCTTCTGATGTAAAAGAAAAGCAAGGAAATAAGTAATATTTACTATGCACTATGTATGTCTTACTAGTAAGAATAGGGAATACTCACTAGCTGTACTCAGCTGAGATTTTGGAGGACATTCTCTGTACGATGTTGCCCTCCTAAGAGCCTACATGGTGGAAAATGTATGTTGTACATGGAAGGGATGAAGATATAAAGGAGGATGCTTCAAAGCTGTAATCCTTGATGCTTCTCCTCACATTTTTGGTAGTTTGGAAATCTGATGATCCTCTAAAGCTGATAAAAAAAGGTGTTGTTGATCAAATTGCCCAGTACCCTTTCCTTGAGAGACTCAACTGTAAGAAAGGCTTTATGAGGCAACATTTTAGGAAGCTCTTATAGTTTAACCCAGCAGTTAAACACCATAAGCCATTCACTCACTCCCTCAAGTAGGACAAAGCAAGAAATTTGATAGAAAACACCTATCAAGAGAGAAAAAGAAAACAGAAAAATGCAATTACAATTATACAAATACAACCACAGCACAACTACTCACCATGCACTGACCAATCCCCTGCCAATAGTACAGCAGGTGCTTGCCAACCGATGACTACCAACACACCTTCCCACTGACACCCAACCAAGGAGCAGCAATCAAACTTACCCCTCTTCCCCACAGCTTTATAGCCTTCTGGATAATGTCACGAGGGATGGAATAACCTCTTGCTTAATCCGAGCCACCTGCCCTTGCTCTGCCCCGCACCCAGTTGCCAAGCCATAATGGCTGTGGCTCTGGGTGTGGTTCCATCATTCAGTAACAACCTAAAGTGATATTAGCAGTCTCAGATGAAACCGGGGTAGATACAGATCATATATATAGAAGGACATGTTATAGGAATAGGTAATAGTTCAGTGCTTCTTGTGCATTTTGTAGCTGTGTAACAAATGGCAGCAGATGGCCACTCTGATGAAATGGCATTTGATGTGGAAGTGTGTGTGAAATAAAGGAGTTTTGTTGAATTTCTCTATACAGAAGAAATGGTGCCTGTTGACATTTACTGATGCTTGCCAAATGTTTATAGAAAACAAAAAGTACATGCGAGCACAGCGAGGCAGTTGGGTAGTGGTGATAGTGGGTCACCTCCACTGGTGCAGATTGTTATGAGTGCAACATACAGACTCCCGTTCATCACTGGTGAAAATGCATAGCTATTACAACAATGGTGACTGTTGAAAAATAGTGTTTTGTAGCTGAGCATTTGCTTTATCAAATCAGGTTATTGTGCTCTCTGTATCTGTTGTAATTTCCATACAGACAAATAGGAGGCATTACTTTCAGAGCAACCTATACGTATCTACTTTGAAAAATATAGAGAGAAGTAAAGCAGAGATTTCATACAGGGCTACTTTTTTTAGTTATTGCATCTGTGTTCTGCACCCATGATAAAAAAATAAATTTAATTTCATAGAAAGTTCCCAGGCAGGTTGACTTCCAAACTAGAATTAGTATTATATGAAATACTGCGAGTATCATCAGGATTTTCTTTTTATTCAGCCATAGAACAATTTAGTCTCCAAAAGTCTTGAGCATTAACTGATGCAAAGTTGTGATGTTGTGATGTAACTAGCTGCTTTGGGCTACATCATCCTGAACATTTCATAAATAATTCCATCATATCTGAGACTCTAGCCATTACTAAGGTGGCACCACCTTGGATTTATGACTCAAAATGTTCAAGAAGTGAAACGTTAACACTTCTGAGAAAAACATATACATCTTATAGCGCTAACTGTAACACAAGCTGGGCACTGGAAGCATTTCCTTTGAACAGTTGGTAGAAGATTAATCCTGAATTATTCCCTGAATCTCAAAGAGTAAAGAGCTTACTCTATGTAAAAATTTTATGTAATTCTATGAATTACCTCTATTATTCTCACACAAGTATGTAATATGTTTTTGAAGCTTGTTTCATTCTTGTTCTATTCAAAAAGATTTTGATTAAGTTTTGTTTCATTCACATATTCATTTCAAAGATGACACATTTTCATTTAACATTTGTAGGAGAATATTTTTGTTGTAGTTTTGGGGGAGAAAATGCTATTTTCACTGTTTTAAGTCAATGCTTCATTTGTCATGTTGTGGAAAATCTAATCTTTATAAAATAAATTTTCTCCAGGAAATGAAGGCTGTAAAGTAAAAGACCCAAAAGTAGGTGATTTTTTGTTACTTCACCTTGATTATTTTCAGGCAAAGAAATTTTGAAGGCAAAGACTGTTTTACCATGTGCTCATTTACCATAAGCACAGTAGTGTTTTACAAGGTATCCCTCAGAGAAACTAGGAAATAGAGCATCAGTACTACTTCCACTGAAGAGAATAATAAAACTCTCTCTTTTGGTGCTGGAAGAACTAGTCTTTTTCTTCGTTACTACATTTGAGTTTCACAGGGTTTTTTTTATACTGCATCACCTTGAGAAGAGCTATCTAGGTGTTTCTAGTTTACTTCTTTTCCATATTTACTGCGTTGTAAATCTTTGCTGTGATTCCATTTGTGCAGTCATAAACTTAGTGTTTTCTTATACAGAAAAGTTTCCATATTTATACTTATTTTTTGCATGCCATTTATAATTGTTCTGCGTATAACACCTAAATGTTTTCTGTCAAGGCAGCTTCATCTTTATCTTGAATATCAAAGCTCAGTGATACAGCTGGTGCACAATGAACATAATGGGGTTGTTGACTTCTGCAGTCTGTATATATTTTTTCATGAAGTCCAAGTGCTATCATACAAGCAACATTTGGATGCTACAAGTTAATATTAGGCCATGGTACACTTTTCTTCATAGTATAATGTAAAAAAGGCATGCTGTAAGTGGATCCACAATATATCTTTCTGTGACATTCTTTTAACTTCATTATGTTGACAATTATGACATATGCAAAAGCCTACCCCAGCTTTGGATAAGAAATAGGTTTTCTTTTTTTATTTGTTTGGATCTAGGACTATGAAAGAAGTCAAACAAAAGAGTAACTTTTTATCAGTTACAATCTGTCTCAAAATAATATAAAATCATTGAATGGCTTAGATTGAAAAGGACCTTTACGATCATCTAATTTCAAACCTCTGCCACTCACTGGATCACTGGATCAGGCTGCCCAGAGCCCCATTCAATCTGTCCATTAATGTCTTCAGGGAAGGGGCAGTGACAGCCTCTTTGGCAGTGTTTTCCTGTGCCTCACCACATTCTGAGTAAAGAATTTCCTCCCAACATCTAATCTAAATTGTCCCTCTTTTAGTTTAAAACTGTTCCTTCTTGTCCTATCATTATCAGATGATGCAAAAAGTCTCCTTCCTGCTTTATAAGCTCCCTTTAGGTATTGGTAGGTCAGTTAGCTGTTCTCCCAGTCTGTATACATATCTGGGATTTTCCTGACCGATACACAGCATCTTGCACCTGGACCTGTTGTGGGTGCACTATTCAAGCCTGTCTTAGGTCCCTCTGGATGATATCCCTTCTTTCCATTGTGTCAACAGTACCACTCAGCTTGGTGTCACCTGCAAACTTACTGAAGGTACACTCGATTCCAATATAAAAAGTTTTTTTTGTGCTTCTGTTTCTGTCAGATCACCTCTCCTGTCATGGCAATGAGAGCTGATGATCCTGAATGGATATGGAGTATAAAGTGGAATCCAGGAGGTGGATAGGTGCAAATGACAATCAATATAACCTTCACCAATGACTGTTTGCAATGTTTGCAAAAACACACCAATGAAGTGTTTGCAAAACACTTAGAAATGTTGCAAAAATCCTATGCTGACCTGCCATGCTGGCACAATTAATTAGTTAACATTTTAAATCACAGCAAATCCAATATGTTATTGCATCCTGACACTTTTCATTAGCAAAATCCAGCAGTCTGATTCTTTCCAAAGGATCCTCTAAAATTTACTAGGTCACTTCTATATCCAGCAAAGGGAATTTGAGATGCTCTGTTCATAAGGTTTGTGCAAACATTTAAGCAGGTTCAACAAGTGGTTGTCACATGGTAATAAAAAAAAAAAACAATAATATAGCTGGATATTTAGAGACACTGAAAATCAAACTTTGTAAGCTAATTTGACCTTTTTCTGTGAAATGGTTAATAGTATTTGAGAAATAGAATGTGATTATGTTACAGCCATAATTGTCATTACAAATTTCAGTTGGAAAAAAAAAAAAAAAAAAGGTCATATCTGTGCTTCTTTGTGCCTATTAGGTATCTTTTTCTCACTCCTTGAAGCTTGTCTTCAGGAAATACTCATTTGCTGGCCTTTGCATAGCCTTTGCTTATGGAACTGTTTTTCCTTTTCCAATCATTATCATTTCTGGTGTTTTTTGGAGTTACCAAACCTTTGGTCACAGAACTGAAAGTAAAACTGTGGCCCACATACTGTGAGGTCCTGTAGATCATGCAATTTACCCTAATATAATGCTTACAGCATGGATACCAGTTTACCATGTAGCCTTGAAATTATTTCCAGTCTTGGCTTGCAGAGGGATGCATGGAATATATTTAAGCTTTTCAGTGAAACAGACTGTTCCCTCAGCAAGGCAAGCCCATTTTCCTTGCTGACCACAGAAATCTAAATAAGAGCATCTGTGCACCAAAGGTTAGCTCCACACTTATCTCTTGCAAAATATAGAAACAAGGACATAATTATATGATTATTTTGTGATGACTATTACCATTGCTATTTCCTTTAATCATAACTAAATTTTTCCAAAATCAGATATTGTATGATTCAGTATGTATCCCTGGTTAAACTGTGTGCATTACAAGGCATTTTAAGAGCAGACAGATGGGTATGAATTCCATGATTTTATTTTTTCCTCCCAGAAGTTCAGTATTTCTGTAAGTGTTGAAACATACCCATTTCCCTATCCCACCTATTGTCCTGCCAACCTCATTTGGAGTTTTACTCATATGTCTTCAGATTGATCAGTCTATTCATGACCCACAAACAGTTGTTTTGAAAACACTCCACTTATAGTAACATATTAAAGCACCATGAAAGGTGCACATGAACAGCCAACCAGCCTTTGCCACTTTTCAGGCAGTCTTATAATTTTTTATAATTTTTCCTTCTCTCAAGCAATTTCATCAGTGAAGTTTTCATTTTTAAGATTCACCTCCAGTGAGCTTATATATCAACTTGATGGATAATTTAAAGAAAAAAACATGCACATATTTGTGGTTGTATGGCCTGACCAAAACTATTTGGAACCTATCCAGTCTAGAATACTTCATCACGTCACTGAATTGTAGAGTCATAGAATGGCATGGGTTGGAAGTGACCCTTAAAGATCATCTATTTCCACCCTCATAGATAGGGCTGCCACCCAGCAGACCAGGCTGCCCAGGGTCCCATCCAACCTGACCTTGAATTCCTCCAGAGATGAGGCACCCACCATCTCTCTGGGCAGCCTGTTCCTGTGCTTCACCACACTCTGAGTAAAAAAAAATTATTCCTAACATATAACCTAAATCTCCCCTCTTTTAGTTTAAAGCCATTCCCCCTTGTCCTATCATTATCACATCATGTAAAAAATCAGTCCATCTCCTGCTCGTAAGCTTCCAGATGTTTGGAATCTTACAAGAAGAGTA